AATTTTTTTTTTCAACGTTTATTTATTTTTGGGACAGAGAGAGACAGAGCATGAACGGGGGAGGGGCAGAGAGAGAGGGAGACACAGAATCGGAAACAGGCTCCAGGCTCCGAGCCATCAGCCCAGAGCCGGACGCGGGGCTCGAACTCACGGACCGCGAGATCGTGACCTGGCTGAAGTCGGACGCTTAACCGACTGTGCCACCCAGGCGCCCCCAATGTGAAAGTGTTTAATGGCACCCAGCTGTGCACTTAGAATGACTCAAATTGTAAATTTTTGTTATATATATTTTACCAAACACACACATACACACACGCGCGCGCGCGTAACAAAGTACAGGTAGTGATGCTGCATTTACCTAACGTCCCTAGTGAATGCGGTTCTCCAAAACAGGCAGATTTCAGACTAACTAAAGTTATTTCTCCACCATCTAGAATTTTACGATTATATCTGTTTCAGTTTATCCACTGAGGATGGGTATCTTCGTAAGCTCTTGTCACTCCTCGCTAACTGGATAAAGAGGGCATACATACGTTATCCGGATTCCCCACCCAGTTCCCTTGGCATACCCCCCACGCTCCTGGGGGCCCTTTCCCCACTTCTTACATCCTGCTGTGTCTAGTTGCCAAGCCTCTTGCCACCCCACCCCCACCGTGGTTCTTCTTCCCATGGGGGACCACCAAGATTCTGTGGTCTCCTGTGTCCTAAAGCCCTCCTTCCGTCAACAGTTCAACTTTGTAAGAACGGCCCACACTCGACCCTTCTCAGCCTGGCTGTCGGGAGGCTGACACGTCCAGACACCGCTCTCCTCCTCTTTGGCCATCGTGCAGGATCGGTGCCAGCTTGGTCAGCCCATTAACCGCGTTCTCCCAACAAACCACCTGCCCTGGCCTATAGGTGGTCCGTCCACACAATAGAATTCATTCAGCAATAAAAAGGAAGGAAGCACTGACACCTGTTGCCGTGTGGGTGAACCTTGAGAACATCACGCTCAGGGAGAGAAGCCAGACACAAAAGAAAGCACAGTGTAGGATTCCATTTATATAAAATGTTCAGAACGGGCAAAGCCACTGAGACAGAAGGTAGACAAGTGGTTGCATAGGACTGGGGGAAGGGAAGGGGAGATCAGGAAGTGATGCTAAGGGGTGTGGAGCTTCTTATCGGGGTACTGAAAATGTCAAATTGATTGTGGTGACGGTTATACAACTCTGTGAATGCCGTGGAAACAGTGAATTATACAGTTCGGATAGGGGAATTGTATGGTCTGTAATTCACAGCTCAGTAAAACTATTTTTAAAAATCCTTATAGGGACTCAGGTCTCCAGGACCACTTGGATGAAAAATAGTTTGTTTTTTTAAAAAAGTAATCTCTACTTTTTAGTAGCGGGGCTGAAACTCACTACCCAGAGGTCGAGTCTCACGTTCTTCCGACTAAGCCAGTCAGGTGCCCCCAAAACAGTTTTCTACCCCATTAGCAGGCTTTTCACTCCAGGGCTTGGTTTCCTCATCAGAGAAGAGGGGTGGCATGGATTACACACACACACACACACACACACACACACACACGTATATTGTATTTGAATGTTTTTATGTATTTTTGAGAGAGAAAGCACAAGCAGGGGAGGGGGACAGACAGAGAGGGACAGAGGATCCGAAGCAGACTCCACATGGACAGCAGTGAACCCGACGTGGGGCTCGAACCATGAGACCATGACCTGAGCCAAAGTCAGACGCTCAATCGACTGAGCCATGCAGATGCCCCAGCATG